CGGCACACCACCTACCCAACAGTCGCTTTCCTAGCTCAAGTGGGATCTAGGTCAAACAGGATCTTTAAGACTCCAGGAAGATCCCGTTTCTCCCTAGGGCGTGAGGATTCGGGAGGGAGCAGGGATTTGGGCCTGCGCAGCCCCTTCCACGCGTCCTTCACCCGCAGTGTTCGGATACCCTGTCCCCCCGCCCACCTCCTCCGCAGCATCCTTCCTCTCCGCGCGTCAGATCCCAGGGGTGATCTGACCAAGCTGCTCGAGGTTTCCTTCCGCCCCCAAGTGTCTCCCTCCGGGCTGATGACACACAAAAGAACTTAAGCAGCTGTGCGTGCCGGTCGGCACTGCAGCCTCCCGCCTCCCTGTGGACGAGGGTTCCCCGCGGGAAAATCATTGGCGCAAGGAAGGCAACCTGTCTACGAAAACGAAAGCGCCGCGTTCTCCCATACTGGCTCTCTCAGAGTTTCCTCGGCTGCGCTGAGCAGACCGAAAGCGAGCCCCAGAAAGAAATTCAACTCTGTCCAGGGAAAATGGGGCTCCGGGGCGGAGAGCACAGCCCGGGACTTTCCCGGCAAAGGCAGTGCGGGGAGTCCGCAACACCGCACACCTTACACAGGACCGGCGCCTGCAGGCACCAGCGCGCGCGCTCACGCCGGCCTGGCCACCCTAGCCCAATCCGCGGTCATCCTCAGCCTCGGAAAAGCCAGACCGTTCCGGATTCGGACGTAGCAGGGTGGAGTGGAGCGCAGAGAAAAGGAGGGGGAAACGCCAGAAGGGGGGCTGGGAGAGACAGCCTGGGAGCCAAGGCCACCCTAAAGGGTACAGCAGGAAGAATGACAGAGAGCCTCGCAGGGAGTGGGGGAGGGAGGCGAAATGCAGCAGGGCAGGCCTCCCCTGGGCTGCTGTTCCAAATCTCTTTGGCTGATCGGAGATTACCACACTAAAATTAATGCCCACACACAGACCCGGGCTAGATAGCAAGAAAGAAGTTACCTCTGCCCGCCTAACTACTGGGGCTCCCGCCCCTTTGCGCCGAGATAACTCGGAGATAAGGCGGCGAGCAGATAAGTGCTTAGGAGAGAAAAAAAGGCACCCGAAGTTGGTCGGTGGTGTTCGGGGAACCTGAGAGCCGCTATAGCCCGCCCAGAGGAGTGGAGAGATACTTCGGGGCCCACCGTGGCCGGGAGAGGGCCGGAGAGCTGGAGGCCGAGAGGCCCGCGACGAGTAGAAGTGGAGGGGAGGAAAACCCGGAGAGGGAAAAAGGGAGGAAACAACCGAACCTCGAGCGGGCGCTGAGCATGGAGAACAGCGGCGGTGGAGGGTGCTCCGGAGCTCGAGAGGCCGAAGGCGCCAGCGGACGAGCTCGAGTCCCAGGTCTGCGCGGTGCTGCTGGTGAATAAAAAGGAGAGAGGAGGCGCCTCTTACTGCTCTGCCTGAAAACTGCAGCCTGCGCTCCTGATTGGACTCACCGAGCCCTAAACAAACAGCGCTCGCCGAAGGGTGCCAGGCTGTGGGTCGGAACTGCGCTCTGCGAGCAGCTGGGCGCTGGAGGTGAAGAGTAGGAGGAGGGATCAAGGGGAGGGGAAAAAAAGAGGGTGGGGAGGGGATGGCGAGGGGGAGGGGAGCGCGCCGCCCTAGCAGACAATGCGCGCTGCTCAGCCTGCGGGCGTGGGCTGAGCAGAGACCACTGTCCCCGGAGTGGGGGCGAGTCCACCCCGGGGGCGCCGAGCCCAAGGATCCTGGGGGAGGGGCGGAGGCAAGAGAACGCCTGACCTCGCTGGCGACCCACACCCATCCAACAGCGGAGCACCCTTCCGTGCCCCTCTTTGCACACACGCGCACATGCAGAAAGAGGAGGGAACCTTGGAGAGAGAGGAGTTGGCCGTGCCTGGCCCCGCGCCGCCGCCGCGGCGGGAGGGGCGCGCCAGAACCAGGGTCAGCGCGCCCCCAGAGTGAGGGGGGAAAGTGCTTTGCCGCCCCCCTAAATGAGCTTTTTGCTCTGCAGTTATGTGTGACTGACCTTAAACTTTCCCCGACCCTATCTCCGGATGCTAGGATTCAGGTCATAGTGGCCGTCCGGGATTGGGGCTCCTCCAGTGTGGGAAACAACGAACCCAGGTGCCCAGTTCCTATCTCTCCCCTGCTCCGAAAATAATATACTAAGTTCCTGGGAAGTTTCGGGAACTTCACGGTGGCATTCCCCAGCTAACCTTTGGGAACTTTTAGCTCGGGTTATCGTATAGAGAAAGGTTAGTCAGTCTATAGGGTGCGCTGGATGGGAAAAGGCTTCCAGGTCAGTCGCGTCTGGGGTCGCTCTCAGAGTTCTGAAGTGGTGTTTGCTCTGAGCTTGCCCGGGAGAAAGTCAGGTAAGTCGCAGATGAGTGGTTGCGAAGAGGGGGATGGGTCACCTTCCCTGGACCCAGCACTTCTGCACCCCCACCCTCCTATACACACCCCTTCTTTTCTCCCTCCAAACGGTTATCACCACTGTGTACAAACTGATACGGTCCTCGGCTGGCAAAGGGACTGGAAATGAACATCGCGGGGTTATCAGTGCCGATCTGTCAGCAGTGAGTCTCGCGGCCGCTCCAGGCCGGTCCGCGGCAGGAGCCGTGATATATGTCTCGCTCCCTCTCGCTCACAAGAAGGATTTCTTCCGACAGACTTGCCCCCAGAAGGCTGCCCAGAGAATTTAACTAGGGCAAGAGAAGTTGTCTTATGGGAATGGATTTTTACACTTTTTTCCCAGGTAAATCGAAGCAAATGATTTTCTAAAGGTCAGTGTCTATGAAAGCATTTGGGCTTTTGTTTTGTTTTGTTTTTGTTTACTCGTGTTTGCAGTTAGGGAAGGGAGAGGGAGCTTAAAGTAGTGTTGAACCAGAGTTGGTAGGTGCACTGTAAAATACAGTTTCAAGAGACTGTGAGACCTCGTTGCTAAGTGTGTGTTTCCTTCTAACATAAGCGCAAATTGTGGACCTGTGGGTCCTAGGGGGAGAGGGGACTGGGCTTGGCTGTGCGGGGGAGGGGACGCAGTGTCCAGGAAGTTGGCAAGAATTCTTCTTTTTTCATTCTTCGTTGTAAATTGCTGCTAAACACTTCTGAATTTTAAATTGCTACCGAGAAGGTCCATAAACCGTTTTCGTCCTATTTAGTCACTTTTATTACATTCCTCTTCGCCTCCCCCAATCACTGCGGCGGCTCCCAGTGTCAGCGTGGCCGAATTTCGAAAAAGCTGAAGGTAGAAAACTCTGGAATGGAGAGACTGGCCGACTGGAGCAGGATCCAGGGGCTTTAAATTTTAACCTGGGTTGGATCAAATGCGACCGAAGAGCTCCGGTGTCCGCCAGCCACTCAACTCCCACCAGGACTTCGAATGCCTTACTTTTGGTTCTTTCGTGAATTCCGGACAGATTTTTAAGTGGATTGGGTTTTGCTGAAGCTTATTTGTAAGCGGTTACGGAAATGCTGTGGACGTTTGATTTCCTTTGAGTCCAACTGTTTTGAAATAATGTTTCTCTGATTTGCTATTAAAAGCAATTTTAAAAAGACAAAGTTCATATCTTATTTGGTTAAAAAGTAATAATAATAATAAATTACCTGGTTAAATTTGCGCCTAGGCTGTGAACGGCCTCCAAGCCTGAACCCCGAGTAGATCGAGCCCCTAGCGAGCCTGATTCCTGTCCTGTGTGTTTCTTACATTTGCAAGTAGGAGGATGTCAGTGTGGATTTCCTTGGACAATAGATGACCCCCAAGGACCTGCTTTTCCCACAGCTCCGCAGCCCCGCTGGGAGGGCACGCTGGCCTTGGCGCCGCTGCGACAGAGGTGATCGGCGGGTCGGACAGTGTCCTGTTTGACAATGTTCGGGTTCTAAGGGCTCGAGAAGGGACCTGACATTTTTACCCTCTGAATTCTCCATCTCTTTTTTTAACAGTGCCCAAAACAAAGGGGAGATATAGGTAATAGCTCCTTCTCTGGGTCACAAATTGTATTTATTTTCTTAGACTGGTTTCCCAGCCAAACGAAGGAATAAGTGGTAAGATTTTTTTCCAAGTGCGTTACTTTAAAAATAAGAAAAACTGTTTATCTCACTGAGTTGGTTCAGAAAGAAACCACGCTGCCAGACCCCCATCTGCCTTTTTCCCAGTTCGTTGGCCTTGGTGCTGGGGACAACACCCTGAGGGAGAGGCGCGTTTTCAAAGCCACCTCCATGGGCCCCAGGCTCCTCGAGTTTCGCCTTCTCGGCGCTCCCCAGCAGGTCTGGAAGGCCGGCAGAACAGAGGGCGCGAGGAGAATGGGTGCACCCCAAACTAGGAAGAAACCCCAGAACTGGAGAGAAGGGCCTCACAGTGCCCAGGTAGACAGGCTCTTAGAAATTCTTGTTTTCCTTCCTTTTCTTGTTTCTTATTTTCACCCCCGCCTGTCTCCTCTTTCGGCATTTGCTAATCTTGAACGAAACCGTTTCTCTCCCGACTATTTAGACTCAAAGATCGGCCCCTTTGGAGCGAGCAGTCCTCCTCGCCCTCTGAGAGGGCTGGCTCCGGGGCGCGGCCTGTCCCCAGGGGTGATTTATTTGGGCCGCGCAATACCACTATTCGAGATTCGAGTCCAGCCAGAACATTACAGCCAATTGGGCAGGGGGCGGAGGCTCTGCTGCCAAACGGGAAGGGAGTTCGGGACCCGCGGTGCGCCGCTTCCGGAGCAGCGGCCAGACCCGGGCAGGACCCTGGCCCCCAACCCGGCTGGTCCCGCACGCTCAAGTTCATCAAATTATCAGTTCACAAAGCTCCTGGCCGCTCCAGCAATGTTTCAGAAGGAAAAAGTATGCATTTTCCTGACTTAAAACATAACTTTTAACTTCAATTTTTAAAAACCAGGTTTATGAGGCCTTCTCGCTTAAACCATATTTCTCCCTGTCCCGTCGGCGCTTTCACCCAAGGACGCGGGGTCATTTCTGCGCCCCCCATAGCTGCCAGCGTCCGGGCCCAGAAGTCGGGTCGGGGGCCGCGCGTCCCTCACAGTGAGCTGCCGCCAGACCAACGCAGGCCGTCGACCAGAGTCCTGCTGGCGATCTTCCTTCTTTTGCACTGAATTCTCCAAAACCCCAGAGCACTCTAGGCACGTCAGGTGACTGGGGCGGAAGCGCGAAGGTCGCCCCAACCCCCTGCCCAGGCTCCCCGCCGCCAGCCGCCCCGGGTAGGGGGCGCGTGGAGCCGCCAGGGTCCCAGGGCGGCCGCAGTCGAGGCCCCGGGCGCGCGGGCTGGCCGAGCGGCGAGGAGGTGCAGACCCCGCCGGGCCCCGCGCCTGGCGCAGCCCCCCGACCCCGCGCGCCCCGGCCGCCGCCAGCTCGGCGCGGAGCGGGGCTGCGGCGGCGGCGCACGAGAGGTCACCGCGGTGGCATTCCTCCCTGCGCGCTGTTTACGTGACTTAATGTACTTCTTGCGCCGCGGGTAAGTCAGGGCCGCGATAAGGGGACAGCCGGGGGAGGGTCGCAGTAAAAGCCCCATGCCGGGCGCCCTGGCCCCCCTCATCCATTAACCTTTTTACTTTCTTCCTCCTCTCTCTCTCAAAGCTCGTTATCTAGGCCACCCAATGACCGACGAAAGATTCTCCCTCCCTTCTTCTCCCATGGCCGCTTTAAACCAAATAAATTGAGCTATTAAGGGCCAAGATGTCTGACAAAAGATCGAAAGGTGTCTTTCCGTGATCGCTTAAAGAAGCGAAGGAGAAGCTTGTGGCTCGCAAATCCCGATAAAGAAATTCCACACCGGCGCCGGCCTCCCTCCCTGCGCACGGCCTGGCTGCGCCCTGACACCCTGAGATCCCGACTTAAGCGACCGCAGATCTGCTTTGGGCCTGGAGGGGCGTGTGGCCGCTGCCCCGGGAATGTGGGGGTCCCCGGGCTGCGGAGTCCGGCAGCGCTGGATCACGGGGACTTAGCTTCGGACACTGGGGTCCCTGAGAGCGTCCAGGTCGGTAGGAGCTGGGAGTCCCAAAACGCGACCCCCTACGTGTCCCTAAAAAACGAACTCAGAGGGCCTGAATGACTATCCCATTTTGATTATTTTATGGTACTAAACAATAAAGGCAAAGACCCGCCCCCACGCCCTTTTGCTGGGAGACTACATAACGCCCTGCGTATCTGAACCCGGGCAGATGGTGGTTGGTACAACCAGGCAGCTGGGTTAGACCCAGGCTGGCCGGGAGAGTGTGGACGTGAAAACTTGACAGCCTTCAGGTGGGAGGCAGAAGTCCAGTAGGTCAGCCATCCTCAGGTTGGGTTTGGTTATGAAGTGTGTTATTTATAATCATCATTAATTGCTACTGACTTCACTACACAAAGCTTAGGACTGCCAGCAAGGTGGAGGCTCTGCCCCTGGAGTGATCCCTTCACCTTCGCTAAAGGATGAAGCAGGTAATATCCAGGTTGCAGATTCAAAGTGGCTTGGAGAAGTTTTCTCCTCCCTTGAGTAGATGGAGTCTTCCCCCATATTCCAGACCAGCATAAGCTGTTTCTACTACTTTGAAATAGGACAGGACAAGAAGCCAGGTGGGAGGGGGAGGGCAGAGAGATGAGACCCCTCCGGCTTCCTTGTGGTAGGGCTTTTCCCCTAGTCCTCTGCCTTCCACAACTCTGGCCATTCTAGGGTCTTCTGTCTTCACTTCACATTTGGGCCCATAAGTTAAAGATGTCTCTCTTTCCTATGTTGTCCCCTCCAAATAAGGTGAACTCCAAAATCATCATCTTATCTAATCTTTGCCCCTAACCCAGCCTCAGGGGATGGGAAAAATCAAAGCAATAGAGGGAAAAATAGGGCTGCGACCATAGCTCAATGAGTAGGGTGCTGGCCACATATACGGAGGCTGGCGGGTTCCAACCTGGCCTGGCCAGCTAAACAACAATGACAACTGCAACAGCAACAGAAAAAAATAGCCAGTCTTTGTGGCAGGGGCCTGTAGTCCCAGCTACTTGGGAGGCTGAGGCAAGAGAATGGCTTAAGTCTAAGAGTTGGAAGTTGCTGTGAGCTGTGACACCACAGCACTCTATCCAGGGCGACAGCTTGAGACTCTGTCTCAAAAAAAGAAATAGAGGGAGACATAACATTTCTCATTCAAAGAAGGTGAGAGACAGGAGGAATTTCCAACCCACTAGCCAGGCAAGACCTGGGCTCTTCTGGATATCTCTTGTATCACTAGATATGCACACCATGCCTATTGTAGGGTCAGGACCCAGACACCACAGTCTCTCAGCTCAGAGACCTTGATTCCTGGGTAGTTTGTTTTTTATTATTATTTTTTTAAAGTTTTTGGCCGGGGCTGGGTTTGAACCCACCACCTCCAGTATAAGGGGCCAGCGCCCTACCCCTTTGAGCCACAGGCGCCGCCCTCCTGGGTAGTTTTTTGTTCTGGAGGTTTTCTTTCTTTCTTTCTTTCTTTCTTTTTTTGAAGGGTGGGGCAAGGATTACTAAAGGGAAGCTGAAAAAGAAGGAAATAGGCTTTCAGAGATTTACTAAATTATGAATGCCCATCTTGAACCAATTAAAAGTGGGGGAAAGTGCCCCCAAAATAAAGAAAATAATATATTTAGTGCTTCGAAATATGACCTGGCCACTCAGCTATGTTGCAAATATGCAGAGAATTAGAACCAAAGACTTGTCTGCTAATATGCAGTTCTCCAGTTTCCTGCCACTTGCTCAACACATCCTGAGGGTGCACTGCATGAAGAAGAAATAGAAAAGTTAGCTCCTAGTTTGGAAGTCTTTACAGTCTAGAAGGTTGGCACCTTTGTAAAGCCAGTTATGCAAAGTCCCACAGACATCTTCCAAGACAGAAGGAGATGACTAAAGTCTCTTTCCTTTCTCTAGAAAAGTACTCAAGTTGAGATTGTCCTCTAGGTTTTCCAGTGGGCTTGAAAAAAAACAGTCCCTAGAACCTGGGAGGATTGCTCAAAGCCAGGAGTTTAAGACTAGCATGAGTAAGAGAAAGACCTCATCTCTGCTAAAAATAGAAAAATCAGTCTGGGATGCCTATAGTCCCAGCTACTGAGAAGGCTGAGACAGGAGGATATCTTGAGCCTAGGCCATTGCAGATTGCATTAAGTATGATGTCACCATGTTGCCACTATAGGGAAAACCTGTCTCAAAGGGAGAAGGAAAAGGAAAGGAAGGGAAGCCTAGCAGGTTTTGAATTGTGACTCAATACTTACATGCCATGTGGCCAGGGCAAGTAGCTCAGTCCTCTCTGTGCCACAGTTTCCTCATCTGTAAAATAGAGATAATAAAAGTACCTCCCTTGGCTTGGCACCCATAGCACAGTGGTTATGGCACGAGTCAAATGCACTAAGGCTAGGGGGTTTGAGCCTGGCACGGGCCAGCTAAGCAACAATGACAATTGCAACAAAGAAATTGCCAGGCACTGTGATGAGCACCTGTAGTCCCAGCTACTTGGGAGGATGGTACTAAACAATAAAGGCAAAGACCCGCCCC